ATTTCTTTGGTTTGGGGCACTTCCAGGGACACAGTTTTCACACGCATACAGGTGTTGCACGCAACGAGGGAGGCAAAAATAGAACTTGGTTGAAGTTAGGAGAGGGAAGCTGTGGCTCAGTGGCTAAGACGTGAGCTTGTCAATTAGAAAGGTGGGCAGTTCAGCAGCTCGAATCCCTAGTGCCGTGTAATGGAGGGAGCTCTTGCTACTTGTCCCAGCTTCTGCCAACCTAGCAGTTTGAAAGCATGTAAAACAAGTAGAAAAATAGGGACCACCTTGGTGGGAAGGTAACAGCGTTCCATGCGCCTTCACCGTTGAGTCATGACCACATGACCACGGAGACGTCTTCGGACAGTGCTGGCTCTTTGGCTTTGAAACGGAGATGAGCACTGCCCCCTAGAGTCGGGAATGACTAGCACATATGTGCAAGGGGAACCTTTACCTTTGCCTGAAGTTAGTTTAAATACAACCACAATCACTCCATGCACACACTAGTTTTTTTTTTCCTTTTTCTTTCTTTTTTCGTTTCTGCTATAATTTTGCACCAGTGGGGTTAAAACCAATTTTGTTATATTTAAGTACAATGACAATAAAGATTACACATAAAGTCATTCAAAAAGCAACTCAATAGCGTTGAACCCACAAGATGCCTCCAGGAGCTCAGGCCCTCCGTTTGTTGCACCTTATGAAGGCCCACGGTCTGGTATCATGGTTAGAGGGTTGGAAGCAGACTGCAAAGACCTGAGTTCAAATCCATGCCTACCTCATTAAAACTCTCAGATGGGGACTGTGCTAGAGAATGCAGGTAATCCTTGATTTACAACCATTCACTTAGCAGTTTTGATCCCCACAGTACAAAAAAGAGGTTGAGACTTTGGAAAAAGTGCAAAGAAGAGCAAGTAAGATGATTAAAGGCCTGGAGACAAAAACATATGAGGAACTGTTGCAAGAATTGGGGATGGCCGGTCTAGAGTAGTAGGAGTGACATGATAGCAGTATTTCAATATTTGAGGGGCTGCCACACAAAGAAGAGGGGAGTCAACTTATTCTCCAAAGCACCAGAAGGCAAGACAAGAAACAATGGATGGAAACTAATTAAGGGAAGAAGCAACTTGGAATTAAAGAAAAACTTCCTAACAGTGAGGACAATTAACCAGTGGAACAGCTTTGCCTTCAGAAGCTGTAGGTGCTTCATCACTGGAGGTTTTTAAGAAAAGTCTGGACAGCCACCTGTCTGGAATGATATGGAGTCTCCTACTTGAGAAGGAGGTTGGACTAGAAGACCTCCAGGGACCCTTCCAGCGCTATTCTAATTGATAATTGATTTTAAAAAAACTGTCCAAAGTTGTACCAGCACTGAAAAATTGACTTATGGACAGTCCCTATACTTAACAACTGCATGATTACTTAACAACTTTGATGGTTTGCTTAACAACTGTGACAAAAACAAGTCGTAAAATGGGGCAAAACTCACTTAACAACTGCCTTGCTCAGCAACATAGATTTTGGGCTCCCTTGTGATCCTTAGTTGAGGACTACTTGCATGCGCCTTTTCTGGGGTCAGGGGGCTCCTCTGAGTTGACAGTGAACACCTTGGCTGATTTATTCCCCACTCCCCTGCTTTTTTCAGGGCACAGGCAGAAGTTGGAAGAACAAACAAAATTCCAAGATCGTTACGGAGACCTGGAAAGGCTTCGGCACTCTATGAGAGTCACTCCAACGACGGCCAATTCTCGGGGGTCCCTGGGTGCCCCAGGGCACTTTGGTACACAAGCTCAGAGCCAGATTCAAGGTAAGAGCTTTGGTTACTTGTGAGGTGTCCGCAGAGCATGGCTCAAAAAGTCAAAACATGGCTGTGACAGTGTGATCAGAACTCTGCCTATTTTTCATTTGCATTATGTAAAAAAAAAATAGGTTGAGTTTCAATCACATCCCTGGGGGTGGGGGATGTCACCATTTTGATTCTGGGGGTCTTTGTGGCTCTCTGAGCTTGGTTGGTGTTCTTGGAGACATTTCATTACCAAACTAGGTAACATCATCAGTGCATCAGACGTTACCTACTTTTGTAATGAAACGTCTGCAAGAAAAGCTCAGAGAGCACCAAACCCACCCACCCCCAGTTATGAAAGCTATGTTTTAAGTGAAAGTTTGAAAAGTTTATGCTAGCATGGATCTAAATATTCTCCCTTACTATGCATTTTCCTTCTCCTTTACTGGGTCTCCTTCTGTCTCCACCCACAGTTGCCTATGTGGGTAGCAAACGTTGCCAGATGCAAGGATATATCGAACTGCAATACATCAAAAGCCCAACCAGATCCATTGTTGGATTTTTGTGGGTCATTTGTGTGTGTGTGTGGTGGGGAAGGAAACAGAGTGGTGACCTCTGTCAAGATTTGTGCAATGAAAGGGACCTCAGCATCCAGGATCCTCTCAGCAGAATGAGCTGGGCGCTCTCAGATGTAGCAGAAATGTCTTCTTCCATTTTGAAGAAAGCAGTTCTGCTATGCAACATTTATACAATAATCAGCAACAGGTTTCAAAAGCCACGATGACAATTTCTTTAAACAATTAATTCAGTCATGTTGGTTTCAGTCTGGGAAGACCACACAACAATCTTGGTAGCTTTGCCTTGATGCTAAATCATAGAAAAGTAAAAGAGAATATATATATACATATATATACATACATACATACATACATACACACACACATACATACATACACACACACACACACACACACACACACACACACACACACATACATACATACATACATACAGTATGCATTTTTATCCTTCCTGGAGGAAAGGTGAGAGTTAAACACGAGAGAAACCATGAAAAGAGAACAAGTCTTTTAATAACACCAGGAAAATCTGCAGTGCCACACTGTCCCAAAGGTGCTTTTTTCAAGAGGCAACTGGACTTTTACCATTTTTCTTTGAAGGCGTTTTGCTTCTCATCCAAAAATGGGAAGCACCAAAAATACACCAAGAATTATATTGGTGCATCGAACAGCCAAAGGAAACATGTGATTCTGTTCTCTTCTTTTGTGGTACTGCATTCCCTCTCTTGTTTGGAAGTGGATAGGTGGTCATTGTGCATTCCTTTCTGCCAAAAGTCACAGCCTGGGTCTGGCTTTTGAAAAATTCTCCCTTCAGCCTCTAAAAGGGTTCCCCCCCCCCCCGTCTGCTTAATTTGGCAGCTGCAAACGAGTTTTCCAAAGGAAGCTGAGTATTAATGAAAGGAAAATGACTTTTCTTTGAGGTTCAGAGTTTCCCCTGTCCAGAGAATGGATGGAGCCAAGATGATCTCCTGGCTTTTATTTTTCCTCTCCTTTGTATTTCTTCTTCAGTAGCCCATTACTACGGACAAGATTTTGAAAGCAGTCTTATTACTATCTGAAATTTTGTTTTAAAAATAAGACCATAGGAACCTTTGGTGCTCTCGGAGCTTGGTTGATTTCTTGCGGGCATTTCATTACCCAACCAGGTAACATCTTCAAATGCTATTTTGCCCAGTTGGGTAATCACATAAAACCTGTTGTTGGCCAAAGAGATAAAACGGGAGCCTACTTTAAAGCACAACAGTAGATTAAAACTCTTCTGCTTTAGTCCCATCCCACCCTCCCATTTCTCATTTCATGTTGATGCACAAGAATTTGCAATGAAATTTCTTCCAAATTTCAGTGAACTTCTCAAGGGCAGAATGTATTGCATTGCCCTGATGTAATGCTAAGATGGCCAAGAATGCACGCGGAGATCTCATTTCATCGCATGCTCATCTCTTGAGTCATTGGCAGCCTCCTTGGCTTCCCATACTTGTATTCCAACTTGCATCAAGAGGTGATGTGAGTTCTTTCGGATTGAGAAACAACGCAGGTAGTCCTCGAATTCCGACCACAATTGAGCCAAAATTTCCTGTTGTTAAGTGAGACATTGTCTGTGAGATTTGCCCCATTTTATGACCTTTCCTGCCTCGGTTGTTAAGTGAATCACTGCAAATAATAAATTAGTTATCCGGTTGTTAAGTGAATCTGGTTTGCCCATTGATGTCGCTTGTTAGAAGGTTGTAAAAGGGGATCAAAAGACCACCAGTCACTGCAACTGTCATAAATATTGCTGAGAATCCAAATTTTAATCACATAACCATGAGGATGCTACAGTGGTTGTGTGAAAAACAGTCATACGTCACTTTTTTTTCAGTAATGTTGTAAGTTTGAACAGTCACTAAATGGACTGTTGTAAGTAAGTTGAGGACCACTTGAATTTGCAACTGTCATAAATATGAGTCAGTTGCCAAGTGTTTGCATTTTGATCATGTGACCATGGGGATGCTGCAATGGTCCAGGTCTGAAGAATGGTAGTAAGTCACTTTTTCAGTGCCGTTATAACTTTGAACAGTCACTAAGTGAACTGTTGTAAATTGAGGACTACCTGTACTGAATGTTGCTATTAGAATGTAGAATAGGAAGCCCCAGCAGTACCACCGTCCACCTCCTCCAATAGCAAAGTCAGTTCAGAAGGATAACAGAGAGAAATTTTAAATCAGTTCTTGAAGTTCCTGAGCAAATGGTGGTATTAAGACAGAGCCTTCTGTTGTGGGGAAAGCAATGAAGGTAGTTTTTGGTTAACAATCGTTCATTTAGCACTTAACTATCCAAAGTTGCAACAGTACTGGAAAAAGTGCCTTATGACTGGTCCTTGCACTTAGAACCATTACAGCATCCCCATGATCACATGATCACATGATCACATGATCACGATTCGGGTGTTTGGCAACTATCATAAATTTAAGATAGTCGCATCATCTCATACTAATCTGATTGCCAATTGTGGTCTTCCCAGCTGGTTTCCAACAAAGTCACTGGGGAAGGCAGCAGGAGGTCTCAAGGTGCAATTGCAGGGTGTCTTGTTTTACAACTGTGGGAGAGTCTCTGAACAGTGACAACCAAGACTGCCAAAACTGCTGTCACTAAGTGGGGTGGTCACGTGATAGCAATAGCAATAGCAGTTAGACTTATATGCCGCTTCATAGGGCTTTCAGCCCTCTCTAAGCGGTTTACAGAGTCAGCATATTGCCCCCAACAACAATCCAGGTCCTCATTTTACCCACCTCGGAAGGATGGAAGGCTGAGTCAACCTTTGAGCCAGTGAGATTTGAACAGCCGAACTGCAGAACTGCAGTCAGCTGAAGTAGCCTGCAGTGCTGCATTTAACCACTGCGCCACCTCAGCTCTCTGTGATGTTTTCCTTCATGTTCGCTTTGCTTAGCAATGGAGTTTCGGTCCCAACTAGGAATTTTAAGGAGGGCTACCTGTATTGTGAGAAGAGGCAGGGACAGCATTTAGCTTAAGAGCCAATGAGAACAACAAGAGTCCAACTGTTCTGTTTTGCTTGATGGATTCATATCCTATCTTTCCTCTAAGAACTTAAATGGCATTCTTAGCACTAATTTGTTTTTTCCTACAAGAACTTTGCAAGGGTGGTTCAACTGACTCACCCGCGTGTTGAAACTCTGCTGAGGATATATTTGAATGTAGACCTTCCTGGTGTTAATCCAGCGCCTTAAACCACTTTGCTCTACTGTTCTGTTACTTGGACTAAAATATTCAGTCCATTTTCCAACCTTCTATTAATTTGCAAGTTTCATTGTTCTTCTCCACATCAAACAGGGGGAGCATTTTTGTTGCAAAAAGATCAACAAAGGTGATGTGGGGACTGGAGGCTAAAACATATGAAGAACGGTTGCAGGAACTGGGTATGTCTAGTTTAATGAAAAGAAGGACTAGGGGAGACATGATAGCAGTGCTCCAATATCTCAGGAGCTGCCACAAAGAAGAGGGAGTCAAGCTATTCCCCAACGCACCTGAAGGCAGGACAAGAAGCAATTGGGGGTGGTGGTAATCAAGGAGAGAAGCAACTTAGAACTAAAGAGAAATTTCCTGACAGTGAGAACAATTAATCAGTGGAACTTAATTAATTAATTAAATGCTCAAACACTGGAAGTTTTAAAGAAGATGTTGGACAACCATTTGTCTGAAGTGGTGTAGGATTTCCTGCCTAAGCAGGGGGTTGGGCTAGAAGACCTCCAGAGTCCCTTCCAACTCTGTTATTCTTTAAAAAATGGCATTCTTCAGCCAATGAATAGCCTGAAGCCTCAACCGGCAATTTTTGATTCTTCCTGTCTCCGGTTTTTCATTCCCTCTAAAGTCTTTATGTATTTCTGTGTTTCTGCAATCCTTGAGGTTTTCTCAAACAGATTCCTTCCCCCTTTAACATTGGGTTGTGTGCTGTTTAACTACAGCAGGCGTGACACTCGGAGAATTGTGTTTGCTAAGGGTATTCCTCAGCACGGGCAGCACACAGATAAATAAACAGAAAGTCAGAACTAGCTTTAACATATTTCGGTTCAACGGGTTTCCTTCCCTCGCCTTCCGCTAACGGAGTTGGGATTGCAACCCAACCCTGGGAGCTGAAGTGACAGATAGATAGCTTTAACTGCTGGGCCATTCATTGGAAATCTCCACTGAGTTACTGAGGAATTTGCAAGTTATTGTAAGAGTGCTGATTCTCGATGTCCATTTCCCTCTTCCCTCCAGCTGCAAAGGAAGCTTTATTCTAGTTGGGGAGCCCTGCTGGTAAAACAGATTTCAAATGTTGCCTTCTTGAAAATCGGCAAAGCTTCCCTTTAATGGCTGCGCCTCCTTTTTTCCCCATCCCATTCTCTCACTGAAAGCATCAATTAGATGTTCGAATGTAGGGGTCTCCAAACGTGGCAACTTTAAGACTTG